ACCCACTCACAAATTGCCTAATTAGTTTTCTTTAAAAACAAAATTTCTTTATTTAAGTCAAGGGTTTTTGATATCAAGTCACCTGGGCATTGTCAATGTTCATTCACAGCTTATTTGATCTTTTTAATTCTGTTTAAACAGCAAAACAAAACAGTTCCTGCATTTGTGAGATTTTGGTGCTTTTAAACAGAAAAAAAACTCCTCTCACGTTGTTTCCTCATGCTCCTTCTAATATAAGGATATTCAAGAGCAAGTTTCTCGCCAAATTTGTGGTGGAATAGTCCGTAGGAACCACTTATCTGGCTTTTATCTGACCAAGTCCGGCACTCACAGAGCCAGCAAAGCTCGTTTGTGAATGAGCCTGACGACTTCAAAGGCAGGCGGGGTCCTCAGGCTCTGTCCGCTGACAGTTCAGGCATTAGTGCCACTTCTCGAAGGAGCCTGTGAGTCCTGTGTGCCCCCCCCCCCCATTCCACCTTGGGACGTCCTGGTAAACACGGAGATGTGATATATGGCCCTCAATGTTGATGCTGCCGATGGCCCCACAGAGGCCCAGCCTGGGTTGCTTTGCGACAAGCGATCCCCCAGCCCCCCCAACATGTCTCCCAGCCCCCAGCTGCAGTAGGTCGGCCCTTCGCCGGCCGGAAGCACAGACACATGGTCCTTTGAAAACCTTGCAGCTGGAAAGGGGATGTGATTTTTCTCAGCCAAGTCCAACCTGGCCTCCAGCAAGCCGTCTTCACAACCTGCTGTTGTGTGGTGAAAGCCACAGCAAGCCTTTGCACGGGCGGTGGGCTGGGCGGGGAAGGGAAGGCAGCTCGTTCACATTAATGCTGTCTCAGTCTGCCTTCCTTTTACTGCACTCTGCTCTCAGCTGAAAGCAGTTGACTTTTCTGCATGCAGAATATCCTGCATGTAAAACACTGGCATAGTTTTGTCTGAAAAATGACAGCCTAAAACTAGTCTTACTACTTAGTAACACTACACTATGGTTTTGGTTAAGTGCAGTTTTCTGGTAAAAGGAGTGACGTCTCAGTCAGATCTGTCATTAGTCTCTGTCCTGTGCCGTAATTTAGCTGAGGCCCTGGGTGCTGACTGTAACTGAACTGGTACATTAAAATTCATCAGGAGGACAGAATGACACCGCATGCTGAGAGTGACCCGCAGCAGCCTGAATACATTCCTGCTGTATAAAACATGGCATTCATCATCAATTTAATGATTATTATCATGAGTTTATTGCAAAGGATGTCCTTAAATTTAAGATAAACATTTTTTCATTCTAAATTCTGATTTGCTCATTCTAAGTTCCTATTGCCACAGTCCTTAAGCAGTTAGTGTTTTTCTTCTACATACTTATCCAAACGTACCCAGTTCTTATACCCAGTGCCAAGGTAGAGAGCTGCCTGCCTTAATGAGGGTAGCTGCGCAGCCCGGACCCCTAGGCTTACAGAGAGCTGCCTGCCTTAATGAGGGCATCTGCGCAGCCAGGACCCCTAGGCTTACACAGAGCTAACTGCCTTAATGAGGGTAGCTGCGCAGCCCGGACCCCTAAGCTTACACAGAGCTACCTGCCTTAATGAGGGCAGCTGCGCAGCCAGGACCCCTAGGCTTACACAGAGCTGCCTGCCTTAATGAGGGCAGCTGCGCAGCCCGGACCCCTAAGCTTACACAGAGCTACCTGCCTTAATGAGGGCAGCTGCGCAGCCCGGACCCCTAGGCTTACTGCACCTTGGTCCGGCCGGGCCGGCCCGGAGCTCAGGGCGCTGCCCCAAAGGCGCCACACCTTTTTCTGGGTGCTGCGTTACTGTTTGCCTCCTTTGAGAGTCTCAAAGTCCCAGTTTCAGCGACTGCTTCTTTGGGATCATTTTTGTGGGCAAACTTTGAATCTATGAACAATTTCTTCTGCTGTTCTTACTGCCTCCGGCGCAAGCGATGGTCAGAATTCTTAGAGTAAATAAACCCTCAGATCCAAACCAGGTATGGATAAACAGCATTCTAAAGTTAAATCCTTCAAGAACAAAATCTTTTTCTCTGGTTTGGTGGCTTTCCTGCTTGACTTTTTGCCGCCTCAGGAGACGTTCCAGCAGCAGAGAAGCAGGCACGACAGTGCATGTGGCTGTATTTAAAGATCTGTCAATTGTTAGTATTCTCCCCTACTTCATTTTCACCAGAGTGCTAATTTTCAGGGATGAAACCACTTCTTTTGCAGTACTGATTTATCTTATTAATCTGTGTCTTGTTGATGGCTAGTGTTCCATAAATAATGATATTTTTTTTATTCTTCAAAAATATACATTTTAATATATATTTTGTCATATTTGCCAAACTAAAATAAACTTCTTTTTGCACGTCAGGCCTGTATTTCTGAAATATGAATGGGGTGCATTTGTTTACTTATTTCTTTATTTGGCCACCAGAGGCACTAGTGAGTCGGGTCATTTTTACAGACTGTGCTAATAAAATCAAATGTTAGCTTTAGGGACTTTGGGAGTGGCTGGCTGGTCTGCACAAAAATTACATTCTGCTGCTTGCTCACAGTTGCTTATAGACTTGCCTCAAATGAATAAGCAAAACGCCAAGGTAAACCCTGCAATAACCAGTGTCTGTCTATCTGGAATTTCTACTGAAGGGTGACACCACTCCAGTGGTCTGCATATTCTCTACGGTTCTCAACAGTTTAACCAGAGATTCAGAACATAGATGCTACTGCCCTCTAGAGGACATGATTTGTCCTGCAAGGAATAAGCTGTTAAACATTTCTAAGAATCAGAGTACACAAAGAAAACTGGCCACTGTATTCTGCTTTAGAAACAGCTGATTTTTGTTTCATTGTAATATATCACCTACGGTTTATTTTATTTTTTATATTTGCTTTTTCTCAGTGAAGGAAGTGGTAATGGATGAATTATTCAAATTAAATAATATACTTAATGCTTACTCATTAAACACAGCATAATTTTAACAATTCAAATTCTGTATCAAAATATTGGAGCAAAGTTTTTAAAATTCATGGCTTTAGCAACATTCAACCGATCTAACTACTGCTTTAAAAATAAATTAGCAGAGAAAAGCAGAATTTGGGGGCTGGATCAGAGGCTAAATGGCAAAGTTTGGTTAAAATGGTTTCTAATGAAAGAGTACCCATAACCCTTTATTTTATACTATTTTTTCTCTGGTGAGTCTTAATTTTTTGTATCTGACTGAACTGCAGCATTATAAGCACTGTACACAGGACATTGTATGTGACATTGTGTGTGAAATTTATGTGACGCTGTATGAGACATTGTATGTGACATTATATGTGACGCTGTATGTGACATTGTATGTGGCGCTGTATGTGACGCTGTATGACGCTGTATGTGACATTGTATGTGACGCTGTATGTGACGCTGTATGTGACGCTGTATGTGACATTGTATGTGCCGCTGTATGTGACGCTGTATGTGATATTGTATGTGACGCTGTATGTGAAGCTGTATGTGACATTGTATGTGACATATGTGACATTGTATGTGACATTGTATGTAACGCTGTATGTGACATTGTATGTGACGCTGTATGTGACATTGTATGTGACATTATATGTGACGCTGTATGTGACATTGTATGTGACGCTGTATGTGATATTGTATATGACGATGTATGTGACATTGTATATTTTAAGTGAGCTTTACTGAAGCAGTTCAGGCATTACAGTTTGCTCCGTAATTTACAATAATATTACAATAACAAAACACTTCTTTTTTATTTTAGGAAAAACTTTAGACTTTAGATTGTTATTTAAACACCTAGATTATGTTTCATAATTAATTAAACATACATTTTTGAGGAAGACAAAATTAAATATCTTGATACAAGTTGCTGTGTTTGTACATTTCAATGAGCTGTAAAGGACAGCCGTTACTCTGCCGGCCCTTATTTAGAAAGGACACGCTGCATGTGTGAGTACTCAGCCGTTACTCTGCCGGCCCTTATTTAGAAAGGACACGCTGCATGTGTGAGTACTCAGCCGTTACTCTACCGGCCCTTATTTAGAAAGGACATGCTGCATGTATGAGTACTCAGCCATTACTCTGCTGCCCCTTATTTAGTCCCTGTTTAAAAAGAAAAGGTTATGAGCATATTAATGATTAATCGAAGTTACTGGTAAACGCTGACACCATACTATCATCGGCCTTGTGATTAATGAAGCAGCCATATGTACTGACAAAGTGCAAACCTTTGTTTTGCTCAGCTTAATATGGGAAAAATAGAATCAGCACTGTACTATAGAAAAGTGAAATATTCCTTTTAATTGTGAAATGTTCTGAATGTTTGGCTTGTTGTGAGCCTGTGAATATGTCCACGTATTATTTATAATGGAGTACCTGTCTATGCTTGCTCATTGTGTCCTCACAGATAGCGAAGCATGTCTTCACTAGCTGTGCCCATTTATAGAGCAGCTGATTTGTATTGAAGTCATTCAGATTATGTACAATTCACAAGGGCATGACTTGAATCCACAACCTTATGGCCATAAATTCAGCTCCTTAACCGCTATGCTTACTGCAGCCACTAACTACAGGTTGCCAGGGTATTTCAGCCATTGAACTGTTGCATCATGCAAACATTCTGACCAAAATGTCACATATGTTCTTCTTGATGTGCCAGTGCAAAAATATCCAGCCTGACCTTTTGTAACAAACAAAGGTTGACTTCTCTGTTAATGAAGCTGCTGCATGCTACAGCCAGGGAATGTGGCATTCAGTAAGGTCAAGCGTCACTCTGTCACTGTGTGTGTTTGGCCGTTTTGTTTTTCTTCATTGTTTCTATGCATAAGTTGAAGCTCATTTTTCGTTCTGCACAGTTTCAAAAAAGTGAACAGAGAGAAAAATGAGTGAAAACTTATGCAAAGAAAGTAAGCTTAAGTAAATAATGGGAATTGATTGTTTGCCTTTTTTTTGCTGTACATTAAACTTTGTGTGAAAATAATGTTTTGCTTGCTTTTTCTCACACAGCTCTGTTACTGTAAAGAAAACCACAGCAAAGAGATGCAAGCACTGGGAACACTCTCCAAGCCATCTAAGGGACCAGAAAATTGTTAAGTCAGATACAAGAAGGTGAGGTGGACTTTGCACAGGCAGAAAGTGCCTCAAAAGAGTTTTGATCCCACCATCAAGGCAGAGGCCACAAGGTAGTGCAGAGAGAGAAAGCATGATGCCTCTGAATGTCTTTGTGGTTCTCCAAACCCACAGGCAGCAAAACTAGACACGCCTGCCCACCACGCCTGTACGATGACGGGAGAGACTCAGCATGCTTTTGCTATTAAAGAATCAGACACTGGTTCCAATGAGCAGGACAAGGGCCTCTTGCTTGACCACTTCAGTGAAAAAGCAAAAACCGAATCAGTGGAGAACTACAAGAGTGAGAGTCTTGTGCTGTTGGCTAACAGCGGGGGCAAGTTTGTGACCAAGGAGAAGGAGTACCCACAGCGCGAGGCCGTGATACGGCCTCAGCAGACAGGCAAAATCGACTTTAAATCCTTGCAGAATCGACCAAAGTTCCCCAGCAATGACCAGACGTGGTCCAACAGCAAGACCAGTCCCCAGTCTCCAACTGGGAAAAAAACTCGAGACAAGGGCAAGAAGTCTGTGAAGTCCGAGCGCAGCAACCCCCAGCAGTTATATAGGCTGGGCTTAACTAACTGCCGTTCCAATCCCACGATCGGGATTGCGTATCCACAGCAGAAGGTCACACCCCCCAAGAAGCTTGAGGTCAGTCGGGGCCCCATCTCGGGCAGCTACAGCTTCCATGTGCCCAACATTCCTGAGCGTCCTGAAGCAGAGCTGCAGCAGCAGGAACTTAGCTACACTCGCTGTTTTCAGGAATCTTCCTCAAGTTTCACCTCCACCAACTATACCTCACAGGCATCAAGCGCGGCGGCAAGTGTGCCAGTCAGCCACCATCCAGCCAACACTCAGCACCTTGGCCTTCTACAGGGAGGCACCGCGCCACCAGGTGGACAGCTGCACCCAGCAGAATTTAGTGGGACGAGTTCTTGGCAGCCTCCAGAGAAGACTTTTAATGGTGCTAATTATGGAGGTACCTCACATAAACTACGTGTTTTTACAGAAGGAAATAAAACAAATACCAGTTTTGTGCCTATGCCATTTCAGTATGAGTATCCATCACTGCCGGAGTCGGCCGCTGACTCCTTCCCCTGCGACCAGACCGCTCACCCTGTGCACTACATTGACATTTCTGTTTCAAACACACAGATGAGTCAAAACCCTTTCGTTCATTCAGCAGAGGATAGGCAAAAGGATGCACAGATTTCCAGACAATTTGATCTTGAGCAACCTGAGGGCAGATTATCTTACCCCCAGCCCCTTCCACCTCCCCAGCAGGCTCAGTACCTGCAGTCCCAGCATGGTACACAGCCCTCCTTGCATTGCTATAAGGGCAGGATTGAGCATTCTGATAGTGAGGCCTTAATCTCAAGTTCTAGCCAGTTAGAACAAACCAACAGCAATCTGACTGACAATTCAACCACTTTCAGAGACAACCCGGGTGTGGCTCTCGTCTCAGTCAAAAGTCTCTGTCCCTCTAAAGACACAAACCCAAGACAGCTAGCTGAAGAAAATAGCCATCGTGTTCGAAACATCGCTCACGATCACGACTCCCAAATGCACTCCGCAAGTAAATCTTGCAGTAGCTCTTTGAACAATACCATCCACATTGGATCAGCGCCCATGTTATGTGGAGCTAATAAGACCATCAGCAGGTTATCACAGACCTGGGGAGGGGATAAGAAGGTGTTTTCTTCTCTAGACCAGAATTCTGCTGCTTTTCACTCCAACCTAAGTGACAAGAGTCAGTTTCAGTGCCAGTCAGCTATAGATCAAAAACAGCAAGGACACAAAAACAGGCGGTTGCCATGGCAGCCGATACACTTGACATCAGCCATGCCAAACCAAAACAGGATCGAGCTATCGAGGCAGCTGAGCAATCAAAAAGTCACTTTCCTGACAGCGGCCTCGGAATGGCAGGATGCTAATGAACCAAACAGGAGTCTATCGCTGAACAGCCCCGACAGCTTCCATGGCAAAGGATCCAGTGAAAACTTTACAGATCAGCAGGACAGCATCAAGCAAAACTGTAACCCTACACCTGTATTCCCTTTTGACAGTGGGGCAGAGGCAATCACTTCTCAAGTATGTGATGCTAGGGGCAAACCTCTTTATTTTGGCCAAAAACAGCCTTTGCCCAGGGCAATGCCCAGACCTAGCCATACACTGTTGCAGGTTCCACCTGTGGGTTTGTCCCCTTGTGATTCCCCACTACCCTCTCCAATGCAAAATGCTCCTTCCAGCAGCACCTGCTCCTCCCTCTCTCCAGCCTCTACCAGCCCTGTTATCAGCTCTGAGGATAACCATCTTACCACAACTGGGCCACTCCCTCAGTTTTATCACCAACATCAAGGGAAGATGCTGACGCCATCAGATCATCTGAACTCAGACCTTCAGCATTTCCATAGTAACATCTCTAGAACAGCAGTCAACCCTTCAGAGAGAGCCAAGGAAGACACACTGAGCAATCTGCATAATATGAAATATAAAGCCAACATTGATAGTGGCAAAAACTGTATGCACAGCATTGCAGGGGAACAGCAGCCCCCTCCTTCATATTCAGCTCATCAGCTTCTTGCCACCTCTTTAGTCACTAACCTTGACCAACTGGATGTTCTTCTTACATGTAAACAATGTGACCAGAATTTCAGCAACCTGTCTTCTTTCCTTGATCATAAGCAATACTGTCATACATTGATCCAGAAAAATGAATTTAAAAATGAGCCAAATGATCCTAGAAAATTCCAGAATGATTCTGCAAAGAGCACTATGTCTGGTACAACTTCCTCTCTGTCAAGGTATCCATCTGATATGCATTTGTCCCTGTTGGGGTTGAATAAGAATGGAGAACTAATGTCTGACAATGAGATCAAAGGAGAATCAAAGGATGATCCTTCTAAATTAAACTTGTTTGCTGTAACTAACAGTCTTCCCGTTTCCCTTCCTGATTTGGAGATGGATGATGCTAAACTAGACAGCCTTATCACAGAAGCATTAAATGGATTGGGTTACCAGTCAGATAATGCAGAAATTGACAGTAGCTTCATCGATGCTTTTGCAGACGATGAACCTATGACGGCTAAAGTTACAGGAAGCATGCAAATGGTAAAAAGCAAAGACTGTGTGATGTTTGACAGCAAAAGCAAACATGTAGACTCTACAGAAGAGAAATCTCAGACACAAGGGAGATATCTATATGACTCTGACAGGGAATCATTAAATAAAACCAAAAAAAGAGCAAGCATGCTTGAAAAGACACTGCAGGACATTGAACAAGAGGAAAATACTAACATCAAAGAAGCGATTCCACATTACAAAGCTAGAGGTTCTTCATCTGAGATGTCAATTGAAAAATTTAAAATAAGGAAAGAGGAAGACAATTCTGGAGACAAAGGTAGAGAAGAAGACAAGAAAAACTCTCGACTATTGGTATCTAGTAGGTTCACAGAAAGAACCAAAGTAAAAAGTTTCCAGGAAAGTTACTCTTCCATAACATCAGCCATTCCTCAATCCTCTTGTAGTACTCGGCATTCTGTATCACAGAAAACTGGAGTAAAGTACAGTAAGAAGAGGAAGGCAGGAGGTGGGACCTGGAGCAAAGAACTAATTCACAAAATAGTACAACAGAAGAACAAGCTTCATGCTAAAGGAACTAAAAACCAGCAATTTTCCTTGGTGATGGAGAAGATCTCTCCAGTAGCACAGAATCCAAAGTTTGAGGAGTACGACTATGTGTCAGATTCAGATGAAGACTATGGACCCCTGAAAATAGTACATCAAGGGCGCCTAGGACACAGTCGACACTACAAGTACACCTATTCTAAGGAATACAAAAGCAGCGAGCAGAGAAACAAAGCAAATTCAATTCCATGGAACTGTGAATCCAAAGAGAGTCTGGAAGTTAAGGTTGCAGAGAATATTTCTCCAACAACGACAAAACAGATTGCCACGTGCAGGGTTCGGAGGAGGAGGAGCAGCAGGTCATCCACAAGCAGCGAACACAGCACACCAACCAGCATATCTTGTGAGAGTGTCTACAGCCCCAAGAACACAGATCGCACAGACTCGGACAGTGAGAAGGGGCTGGCGATGAAAAAAATTAGCTCTAGCAATGTCGTACTCATGGATTATTTTGTACATGATGTGTATGAGACATCAACAGTGGAAACCTGCAAAGAGCCCAGCAAATCATCCCAGCTATTCTCTAGGAACACTAAGAGGTATGGGTCTACTAAGTTTCTCCTCTCTGCTAACATAAACTCATGCAGGATAGGTATGGAAAGCACCTCAGAACTGAGCGACACCAGCACTGTCAGCAAAAGTCTAACGAGATACAACAGTACAGGAGTGTCTTCACAGGAGAAAGAGCAACAATGCAACGTTAATGCATTAAGCATTGCACGAAGTGCTGAACAATGCTCAAGTAGTAGACTAGATGACACAAAGTTTAATGAGCCATTTAAACTCACCATAAATGATTCTCCTGGAGCCCACCCTGAATTACTGCCAATAGAAGGAACACCAGACACTAACAGTACAAATTCTGTAGCTATTAGCGGGAGATCCAAAAATGGCATCTTGGAGAGGGAGGAGTTAGAGTATAAAGAAAGTGTTGGAACAATTTCCAATTCCTATAAAGATCTGCTGTCAAGTGCTGAGACTCCACCTATTCCTGTCAATAATCACATGAGTAGCTTTGATCATCATGTGGACCATAAAAGCACAATGATCTGCATTTCACCTGTGGATGAGGTACATCAGTGTCCTTCAGACTTGCAGGATCCTGTAGTGCCAAAGGAAATGGCCATGCCTGACCTCATAGAAGCAGATCAGGGCTTGATCAAATCACCGCTCCCATTTGACACATCATCGTTGTTTGCAGACCTTACAGTGACAGGGTTTGACAGTAGCCTCTACACAGATATTCCCATGAGTAATGACAGCTTTAATGCCTTTGGTCCCAGAAATGACAAGAAGGAGTTGTTTGAATCAACCTTCTCTCCAAAAGACTGGGGCGTGATGACTGATGCCACACCTGCACTACGAGCTGAAAATCCTCAATTCAAGGACCTTTCTGAAAAGGCAACTTTTAAAAAAAATGACTCTTGTCACCTTGACCTGAATTTGCCAGACAAAATATTAGATTATAGCAGCAATCCCAACAGCAATATCTCAGAAGATGAGCTAGAGATTAAAAAAATTGTAACAGAACTAGAAAACAAGCTCCAAAGTGCCAAAGAGAACGGTTCCCTTTTGAATGCCAGTCAAGTCTCCAGGCAGCCGGGCCTAAGCCAGACCTCTGCTTTGCATCTGGATAATGAAGCTGACAATGAGCAAAGTGCCACACAAGTCACAAAAACTGCAGCTAGTACTAAAATGGAGACAGCCAACACCCTAACGGATTCAAATTTGATTGATAAATACGTTGAAACAGATTCGTCTTGGTCAAGTTCATTTACCTTTGGTTTATTGGCGGAACACCAATCTATTCACACTTCAGTCCATGATCACAGTACTATTGAACCTTCCTGTGTAAAGAAACATGCTAAAAGTGGTTCAGCAGCTGATAGTGGAAACCTACAGTCAAAATTAAAGCATATAACAGAGGACAGTGATGCGATCAATAAATCTTTCACAGACAAATCCGAGGCGGACAATGAAATGTACGATGACAATCTCATGAAGTGCCTGGAAGTGATTTCTGATACTGTCCTTAAAAAACCTGGCTTAACTGCTGGGCTGGAGGAGACAAAACTCTCCCAATTTCTAAACCCAGAACAGCCATGTGATAATGACACAGCTGCTGAAGACCACAGTGAAGCACAGCCAACCCAGACACAGACATTTGAGATTCAGAGATCTCAAAAGTCTGAGCTTGCACTTTTTCCAAATGACAACACTAGTGACTGCCCACTGGTAGATGAGAGTGTGATATTGCCAAAACCAAGAGAAACTAAGGCTGGAAGCAAAACATTTGAATTAGGGTCCAATGAGAGCAAGGACATGGCAGTCGAACAAAATCTTACTGGTTCTGATGACAGCCAAATAAAAATAAATTCATTTAATGTATCTGAATCACAAGAAAATGTTATAGAAGAAAAGACAAGAAATGACAGGATTACTAAACCTGTAGTTGTAGAGGGCCTTCAGTTACAGGAAGACAGTACAGGTGCCCTCAGAGAGAGAGATTCTACATCTCAACAACAACAGTTTCTTCAGTCCAGCACTATGGAGAATAACGAGGAGAAGCCGATCTTGCACACCAGTCCCATGATGCTGCTTGTTAGATTGCCCGACGCTGATCAGTGTGAGGAGGAGAAATACCCAGAAATCCCTCACTATAAAAAGAGTAAAGCAGAAACCACAGATAACCTCGATTGCAGTCTGGTTTCCTCAGGATTTGACACGCTATCAGGTGGATCTACAGAGAGTGTTCTTGTTGCATGTCACCTGCTGGAGACTGGCTCAACAGACAAACTTAAGCAAGCAGCAGCCCATGGGGAGCCATGCAAATTTCCCCCATCTATCCCGGAGTTCCCAGTGAAAGGGATCACTGATTGCCAACCACCTGTGTCAGATATAGAACTTACAGATCATGAACAGCCTATATCTACAATCGCAGAGCACAACCTGGTGAAGAATCCACTTGGTGTTTCTGATTTTGAAAATACCTGCAAACCTGAGGTTGTTCCTGAGTATGGAGACATTCCCAAGCAAGTTCTTGCTGATTTAATTACTTCTCCTCTGCATGCTGCATGCACCAACATTACATTGGAGAATGATGAAAGCTGCATTTCACATGGAAATAGCACTACATCTAGATTTTCTGCACGAAACCCTGTACTTCATTCTGTTGGGGAAACTGGTGATAAGTGCAACTCTCAGAGGCTGTGGAATCATTTTGAAGCACTGTCACCAATTAGCAAAGACTTTGATGTAAGTGCCAGTGAAATGGAGATGTGCAGCTCAGCACAGCCCCCGATTTCTGGGATGTCAGATTTATTAGCCGGGCTGCCTCACGTGGACTTGGGGATGGGCGAGAACAAAACCTCTGAGTTTGGAGCCTGCATTCCATCAGACCTCCCACTAATCTCCACGTATGAACAGTCTGATTGCCTGATAGTTCGTAAGGAGACACTAGAGACAGACATGCCAAACGAGCAACCACAGTATCAGTTAAAACAAACTTCATTAGATTTCAAAGAAATGTCAGAGTTGTCACAGCACCTTGAACAATGCAGCACTGTCTCTTCTTGTGCCTTAACTGAAAACATGGAAAGCCAGACGGTCCGCAAGAAAAGTAATAAAGACAGCTCTGATCACTGGGAACTTAGTCTTAACCTGCCCCTGACTTACAGCAGTTCTTTAAATCCAGTAAGCCCACTGCAAGGGGACAAAGACTCAGTGGATTTTCCTGCAGTTACGCGTACTGTAGGGGGACTTTGCTCTCTTGATACATCTATGCAAAATAAGTGTAAATCAAAGTGTATGTGCACAACAGCATCTTGCCAACAGTGCAAGAAAAGCTGTTCCCCTTCCATTAATAATGAAATGTTGGAGCTTACATCTACAGATGTGGACCTTTGTCAGCCTTGTCTTGAAACCATTGCTTACATGGACTTGCACAGTAGTCTGCTAAAAAAAGCAGAGGTGGAGAACGTCAACCTGGATTCACCCCTTTCTGAGTCTGGAGTTTCTGCAACAGGGCAGATGGCATCTGATGATCAAGGAACTCTTGAACCCATTTTAGTGTGTGTCGAAGAAACTGCTGGGCGCTCAAAACAAAGTACATCTCCCATGGCAAAAGGAAGCCAGTGTGAGATGAACCAAAATGAGACAAAGGCACATTCTCAAGATTCTGGCAACAAATTCACATATTCAAAAAAGAACAGCAAACAAGGAACAATACTGTGTGAGATTTGCTCTGCATGTTTCAGAACAATACCAGGCCTGAAACGACATAAAGCCACGAAACACGCCACCAAATCCAATGGGAATACAGTCTTGGAAAAGATGACCTTAAATCCTTCTAAAGGTGTGATTAGCACAAAGCAATTAGAAACAGGCCACACAGGTGAACTTTCATGCCTTGATTATCAGGACTCTTTAAATGTGAAACCACTGGAAAACTGTAACATGCTGCCATCTGTGGGAATTCTATCAACAAACAGAGTCAGTGTGGAAGAGAATAATTCAAACTTTGGAGGAACTGAAAGTGAAGAAGTTCACCTACCGACAGCAGAGAGCAAAGAAACACAGTCAGCTCCTCATGCAATGGGTAAACTTTCAAAAGGTTCTGAAATACTGAAAAACAGAAGGACTGATAACAACAGCAGTTTTACAAGTAAAGATAAAGTAAATCCAGACCAGTTTAATGATGAGCTCCTCAATATACTCAAAACTGATATTTTACAGGCTATTACCTCTAACTTTCCCACTGCACCTCAGGGGTTACGTCGAAAACAGCCTGAAGACCAAGAGAACCTTAACCAAGCAGATGACATTGAAATGTCGATACCTGGAAGTCTTACATTTAAATTGACCAGTGATGCTAAAGAAATTGATGCAGCTTGTTCAGGGAACTCTAATCTGTACAAGGAGTGTGTTGCGCTCACTCAGAATGAAACAGTGAGTGAATGGGAAAGGAGCGCAGGACCGAAAGAGATGAACAACACAGAAAGTAACAAAATTAGTATAACGAGTGAGAAGCCTAAGAATATCTTTTCTAACATTAAGGATGTATGTGAGCAAAAGCTGATTTGTTCTGAGAAAGGCACTGGCACAGAGACAATAGGAGAAGGTCCGGTGGAGATCAAATGTGAGAAAAGCACTTGCCTAACAGATGAGGCAGACAACCACTCCCTTTGTTTTAAAAATCCATCAACAAATACTCCACAGCCAAGCTTTGGCCTTGAGGCCTTACTAGATGATGAAAGAACCTTCTCTCAGTTGTTCCCCAGAGATGAAGCAATAATTAGAAAGAAATGTACAAGGGTTTATGGCAAGAAAAACAAAAAGCAGAAGATCAACCCTAATCTTCCCTTGGTGGAAGCTCATCCTGACTCCAACATGGCCTTAGGTAATGAAAAGCAACTTTCAGAGAGCGACAGCAATCAGGCTTTACTTCAGTTGGGAGACAGCTGCAAGTATGAGACTATATCGATGGATCATGCCATAATGCTAGACATGTGTCACAAAAGCACTTTAAAAAATGATTTTGAGAAAACTGTCTACAGCGCAGAAAACTTGGAAGACCATAATAGTCGTGACGTTGAAAACAGTGAGGGTTTAGGCGTTGCAGACTTCCCAAGTCTGGATAACATAAAAAACTGCAAAGTAGGGCAGGATTGGACTGAGTCCAAAACCGACATTGTTTCAGGAAGTTTATCATCTGACACTCAAATGGCATTTAAGTCTGAGGATTCAGTCACTAACTGCCCCTCACAATTCACAGATTCATCAGGCACACTTTCTAATGACATACAGGACAGTTCATCCCTCTTCCCTAGCATAGATCTCCAGAACCTTAACAGTACATTTCAGCTTCCTGAATTGCCATTGTGTGACTCTAGTAATAACTTGCCATTGGTGATGCCCATTAGTAATGACATTATTGATGACAGTCACAGCATGAAGTCTACCAAGAAGCCCACCGAACGCAGGGGGAGGAAACGCAATGAGGGGGCATTGAAGCTCCGGGACAAACAGTACAAATGCAAGGTGTGCTTCACTTGGTTCCTCACCCTGGGGGAGCTCAATTTCCACAAGCTCTCACACAACCCCTCACCACCCCCCACCTGTTATATGTGTGTCCAGCGCAAGTTTAGCTCTCGTGAGCAGCTGAGGGACCACCTGAGAGAGAAGCATGCTAAAAACAAGGCAGGCATCTGGACCTGTGGCATGTGTCTAAAAGAGATTTCAGATGTGTGGATGTATAACGAACATCTCAGAGAGCATGCCACACAGTTTGCCCGGAAGGGCCAAACGCAGAATTCCATTCTAGGGCTGCCAGGCTGCTTCATGCAGGAGGCAGCTGTGAAAAGCTTCATCACGTCAATTATGCAGCACAGACCCAACAGGGCCAGCAAAGGGGAAAAGGGCAAAGGATCTTCCAAAGATGGTGGGAAGACAATCAATCTAGAGCAGAAACCAAATACAAAAGAAGGAGATGAAACAGCAGGGCCCACAAACAGTAGTGGAAAACAGAGTACATCCTCACCACTAAAAGCTCAGCAAAAAGCGGAGGCCTCTCAGAAGAATGTGGAGATGCATCCCAATTGTAAAGATCCCTCTAGAGATTGCCACCACTGTGGCAAGCAGTTTCCCAAGCCCTTTAAGCTGCAGCGGCACTTGGTGGTTCACAGTTTACAGAAGATTTTTCTGTGTCACAAATGTCCCATTTTCTATCAAGAGGCAAAAGAATTAAAGGATCATCTCAGGAATGAACACGAGGAAGTGGAAGAACCGGACTCCAAGCACACCACGTTGTACACCTGTGAGCTTTGTGCGGACGTCATGCATGTCATTAAGAAGTCCTTCATCTGTAGCACTTGTAACTACACCTTCTCTAAGAAAGAGCAATTCGACCGGCATATGGAAAAGCACCTGACTGAGGGAAATCACATCTTCAGATTTAGAGGGGGGGTGAGGCCCAGTAAGCCTCTTTCTTCTTATGCAAAAAATGGAGAGTTTGATCTCCCACCCAGCAAGAAGAGAAAAATGAAAGACACCTTGCTGGAGACCAGTTCTGACAGCAATCTGGAAAGTATTTCCTCTTTGCAGTTCATGCAAGGTGGAGAGACACAGGTACTGAAACCCAGCCTCATTCCACCATCACACTTAGCTACTGGTGACTCATCTTCTGGGCACAAGGACACCAGTATAAAAAAGGAAGACACTGTAGAAGACTTCTCAGAAATGATGTCTACCTTTGACAGATCACAACATTTTATGGTTCCAAAATCTGGATGTTTCTCTCCATCAGTACCAAAATCACAGACAACCGGGACTTCTTCCACGTTGGAGACCTGCGACACTGGTGAGGAATCACCTACAAAAGACATTAATTTAAAGGATGCGACTTGCAGCCAAAGTGAGAAACAGGTAACCATGTTAGCCGTGAAAGACTGCAGTGCTACTAAGGGTGAGTCAGTGACTAACAGTACAGAAAAGAAGCCGACGGCTGGTGACAATCCTTCAGTTAGTAAGATCAATTTATTTGAGGTCAATGTGACACATTCAGTTGAGGATGTTACTTCCACTAAGAGAATGGAGTCAGTTAATACTATCATTGTATTTAATGCTACAAATTCACCCGATGACTCAGTCACTGCAGTAGAGAAGGTGTCTTCAGCTCAATGCACTAAAGAAGTGTTGATTGATGAGTGTGCCAGCCCGACATCAGAAGTTAAAAATCTGGTTAAAGATGGTCCACCAACAGACACTAAGCAGAGATCCGTGGCAGAGAGAATGGTGGTGGAGAATCTGCGGCAACCTTCTGATAACAAGCAAAAAAATGAAAATAACCCAACAGCAGCAACAGGCAGTAGCATTGGACAAGAAGGTGACATCCCAGTGAAAGAGAACAGTCTACCCAAGCAGGCTGAAATCACAAAGCAAAGCCCTGACTCTAGTCCAAAGAGAACTACGGAGTCTTTGACAAGTAATATCAAGCAAAAAAAACGGAAGGATCCAAAGACCTTCCTGAGCTGCAAAGGATCCACCCCGGTCACACGAGAGAACTTGGATATGGATTTTAGAAACATAAAAAAGGTTCGACTCCAGAGTCCCAGCAAAGGTGAAGGTATGACTGGCTACAAGAAAGCTGACGCTGCTGCTGATTATCCCATGCTATCCTCTGTGAAGGATGATGTCACTAATAACAAAATACTGCTCAAACATAAAACTGGGCTGCTGAACTCCCAAACCAAGAAGACCCCCTTCAGCAGCTATCCTCTAAAGAAAGCAGAAAATACACGACAAGTAAATGGGGATCATAAGGGTAAAAAAAGTGCTCCTGTAAGACCGTTGCCGCCGTCTAGGACATCCGTGTCCTCTGTGAATAGTTCCCTGAGCAAGTGCAAGTCCCAGTGTGGCATGAGGTCCATGGAGTCACAGTCCTACAGGACAGCGGAGTCACAGAGCCACCTCCTGAGCCAACTGTTTGGCCAAAAACTCACCAGCTTTAAAATTCCTTTAAGGAAAGACACTTCTGAATCGCTGAATTAGGCTGATTTGTGTGCATGCTTTGAGAAATAATGAAAAACAAGCTCATGGTGTTGAAACATGCAGAGTCATTCCTTTGTAAAAGTTGCATGGCGCAGTAAGTGTTCTGGTGTCAGTCCTTGCATAAAAAAGCCTGATCTATGAGGAACATCAGCAGGCCAGAAGTGTCAGTTTGATCAAACCCAGTGGCACAAGGGCAGAGCATATCTGTGAAATAACTTAATGCATTCCACAGCTTAACACGTCACTATCTCACTGGGTCCCCTTTGTATATATATAAAAAATGAGATATTGAAATCACAAGAATACTTGAAAATATTTTTTCTTTAAAAAAATGCATGACAGTTTTGCATTTAATAAAAAGATTCTTGGATGTGATGAAGTTACAAATTTTCAGCACAAGACCAAAAGATGTCCACATAAACATCTAGGCTATATCAGTGCACCTTCCTGATAACACTTTATATATCCTTTATTTTACTGTATTTAGGTGACATTCAATCATTGTACTAGCTTTTATATAAACAATACCTGGTGCTATATTTTTATTCTTTAATAAAATGTGAATATAAATGCTTTTTTAAAAAGGTATGGATTAATATGTAACAATTACCTTTATCCAGCTGATTCTGCTGGTACTATCGACATCAGAAGACAATGAGGAAAATGTGTATGTATTCTTTAACAAAGTTTTTTTAAAAAAGGGAAATGATTAAAGTCTTCAGTATTGAAACTCAGGTGCAAACAATAATTGATATGTTAACTCAAACTGCCCATTTTAGGATCCCTTCCTATGCACTGATGCTGCCACAAGCAACCAAACAACAAACAAACAAAATCGTAAAACAACAAAGCGTCTGTCCTTCCGTTTTGTTTGCTAGATTAAAAGGTGCTTTATTATTGTGTTCATATGTATCTTATATTGTGTATGATATTGTAAGTAGTTTACTTCCAGTGCAATGCATAATGTCAAAGTTTTATTTTGATAATGTACAACAGGAAAAAGGGAATGGAAACTTGACTTGCAATTCATTGGTTAAGATTTAAGTGCTACAAAGTGCCTTTATAAAATTATTAAAATATTAAAATTGCATCTCTTTAACTGACTGTTCTGTTTTTTTTTTAACTGATATTATTATGCAGATTAACACATAATGCCTGGGAGCTAGCTTTCAGCGCCTCCAAGTGGCTAGAAACAGAACTGAGGGCCCGGTACATTTTGCAAGGTTCCAGAATTCATATTGATATTCAATGTGTGACAATCTCTGACGAAACACACTTGAATATTTAACATGCAATCTCATTACAGAACACTGAAAATCAGTCCATAATTGTGTTTTCAAACACTAACTTATAGCTTACAAACTTACATCTTTCCCTGTTTAAAAGTATCGAAACTCAATAAAATTGAAAAGTTTTAAGTGTCTCACCTCTGCTCTACATATGTAAATCAGCAGAAACGTCTCACACTAAGACATTACACTGCATGCAATCTGTCTTCCATAGCAGCATATCTGGTGCGGGTTCCTTCTGATCCAGGAGCTTCTGGTGCGGGTTGCTTGTGATCCAGGAGCTCTGTCTGCCACTCTTGGCCGTAAGCCTCATCTGACTGAGCAACTGCTCCTGGACCTGGCTTCTCCTCGCCTCTCTCGCTCCTCTGACAAAGCAACCCAGGTGCACGGGGCTCCCTGGATGGGACACTTTACTTAAGACACCATCTCACCAAAACCACACGTTTAGAGAAGCATAAGGGAAACCACAATTCCTTGAGGGAACCCACAGGAAAAGAACATACATAAAATTAATCTTACAATCTAGAGAGCGTGAGGCTACCGTACCACCCAGTAAGCTACCACACTGCCATATTACATAATCATAAAACATTTTTATACGTATATTGCCATACTGCTTGTAACATTTTTTAACAACACTGCACACCTTTCATTTCATGTTTAATGCTTGTTGTCTTGTTTGTATTGTTCCTGGAGCGACTGTCAAGTAAAATGATTTGTGAAGTGTGACCTTACTTGGCCTATTGAAATGATTCTGATTAAAGATCTGGGGAGGACAGGGCACCCGCAGGGGCCATTCACTCACAGGGGCCCATTCACTCACTGGGCACCCGCAGCAGCTCATTCACTCACAGGGCACCCGCAGGGGCCAATTCAATCACCGGGCACCCGCAGCAGCTCATTCACTCACAGGGCACCCGCAGTGTCCCTTTCACTCACTGAGCACCCACAGTGTCCCATTCACTCACTGGGTACCTGCAGCGGCCCATTCACTCACTGGGCACCCGCAGCGGCCCATTCATTCACATGGCACCCGCAGTGGCCCATTCACTCACTGAGCACCCGCAGTGTCCCATTCACTCACTGGGTACCCGCAGTGTCCCATTCACTCACTGGGTACCCGCAGTGGCCCATTCACTCACAGGGTACCCGCAGCGGCTCATTCACTCACTGGGCACACTCAGGGGTCAATTCACTCACAGGGCACCCGCAGCGGCCCATTCACTCACAGGGCACCCGCAATGGCCCATTCAATCACTGGGCAACCGCAGGGGCCCATTCACTCACATGATCACACAGAGAGGGCCAATGTAGAGGCACTAATTCACCGGACTGTGACTTTGCATTGTGAAAAGTAGCCCAGTCCTCTAGTTGTGGAGGCATTTTTAACATGCAAAGCAAAAGATGGCATCAAACGAAATTAGTATTAAATAAATTGTCAGTAGTTAAATTAAGGTGGAATGAAAAAAAGGACACAATTGCTTTCTAGATCGTAATAACTACCAAGACCCCAAATCCAAAATGCTTTACTATTGTATCTTAACAAGAGCACCTGGTGAAAATGTTCATCTGTGAGATGGTTGCGTTCAGGTGTGAATATACTGTGTCATGGCTAAGCAGCCTTTCCACAAGGTCACTAGAGGGTAGGATTGTCATAAACATAATGAACAATCTTTTGACTGCTAGAAAGTCATTCAGACATGTGAGATTGTAACCCCCAGCTCAATGCCACTGCGGGGGGCTGCTCTTCGCTGCCAAGCTTGCTCTCACCTAGACGCGTGTCTGTGTGTCATGGAAAAGAAGACAGGGCGGGTGAAAAGGGAATTTTATTTACAGAATGCAAACCTCAGTAATGTATATCAGAGCTGATTTCCTCCCTTCTGTTTATTACAGAATATAGTACACGACTGTATAAACATCTTTAAATATACTAGAAATGCTATAAATGGTGCAAGTGAGACATTAAAGATCTAAAGATGGTTGACACAAACCCAGTACCAGTACAGTATGCTTGAAATATCGGTAAGAGGCGACTCCTCACTTATCGACCAATTCGCTTAACAACTTAGTGGTAGGAACAGAACTCAGTCTTTAAGTCAGGAGCATCGGTATCTGTAATCTGATTACAAGTATTTTAAAATGTTATTTACTTTACTTAAGTACTTGTTTTTTGTAATCAGATTATGTAATCCAAATTACATGTAATCTCTTACTACATAAAATTGTCAGATGGCCAGTCCAGCCCACACTATGTTAAGAAAATATACAATTCTCACACTACATGCTACAATTAGTAGAAAGAAGCAGAGAATCATTACCAACAGAGGTATTTTATTTCCAGTCTATTATGGTGAAACTTGCCGTCTTAATGAATGTTTCCAGTTCATTTGCTTAACATTGGATCTCACAGAATTTTTGACAAAGTTTTCAGTTAATCTGTAACCTGAATTACTACAAGATAAACAATTTCGGAGCAATAAATCTGACTGCTGTTGCTTTGCTACAGTTCAGAGAATCCATTTGTCGTGTACTGCTGCCGTTTATGACAACGCAGTGCCAGAAAGCCTGGAATTTGTATAATCCATACAGATAATACTGGCATCAATAAAGTGAATTTGATTACAGTGAAGTTTTCATTCTGCACTGTGTTTGGCTACAGTAGAGAATTGCTGTGGCACTCCAGTGGCACAGTCTGCTAGTGCTCCTCTCTACCTGAGGTGAACCATCTGGACATTGTCATCTGAGAGCTGATCCAGCAGCTGCTGCGTTCTGGAAGTTCACTCCGCCAGAAGCCCTTCTGTGTCTAGCCCCACTCTCCGGAGGGAATCTCTGTACTTTCTTTTACCCAGGCTCACAATATCTTCAATTTCATCTGCCAAGTCCTGTCTCCCACTCTTGGTCATAGCGTCAATTAATTCGGGGACAGCTCCTGGCCCGGTGTCCCCTCGTCTCCTGGCCCAGTGGAAGAGAATGTCCAGGACCAATGCTCCTAGGTTGTCCCTAGTTAGATGGGAGAAGGAACGATGAGATGGCAACTGAGGCAATTATAGTATACATTGACCATCGAAGATAGTGTGTGTGTGTGTGTGTGTGTGTGTGTGTGTGTGTGTGTGTATATATATATATATATATATATATATATATATTAGGGATGCTCATTTCGATTAATTTTCCCAACCGACAACCGCCGTTCGTTATCCGAACATTAACCGTTAACTGATTATATTACAATATTAAATTCCTCTGGGGTCGGCGGTCCCGCCGGCGGGATCTGACAGAAATTTCGCCCAAACCATTTAAATAACTCTTCGAGGTTTTATCATATACACATTTAAAAAACACCCTCAGAAACCTTGGACGGTCTACTTTTCAAATATATATATAGGTAGAAACTAAATATATTTTTATAGCTTCGTGGTACGAATAGAAAGAACAAGAGTGACTGACTTAAGCGTCTGCGTCTCGAAGCAGCTCTGATCGCCTTCCCACTTGCAAATTGCGCTATTCGCATGATAACAACATGATAATCCGACAGTTAGTATTGGATAAAGAAATATGTGAATACGCCCATTGTAATCGAAATAAAACAAGAGCACATGTCTGGGTAGTGTTTACACCGATCGGCTACAATATAGCACACGGATACGTCTCTGCCGCTGAAGCTTTGCGCCAATGTTTCCATTTTCAGCAGCAAAGCTCGTACCTGTGTTCATGGCTCAGTGGGCTAAGCCTGTGTGCCTGTAATCACAGTCGCCGATTCAAACCCAGTGTATTTAGAACGTGAAAAGCGATCTTCAGCTGAGATGCCACAAAACTTCATACTACTACTAATAATTAAAATATATATAAAAACATTTTAAACCGTTTAACTGATAGCAATATTCGGTCAAAATTAATTATTTCGGTTAACGGTTAAACGGTCAAAATGAGCATCCCTAATATATATATATATACACACACACACACACACACACAACCCCAATATCAAAATAATGCACTGCTGCATAGCTAATGATAAGACGCCAGTGTTCATTCACACTGAAGAGTCATAACATGAGCAATCAATATCAAAATGTAGCACTCAGCCAAGCCGAGCTCCTCATCCAATCTCTTCCCCAGAAGTCGGTCCCTCGCCTTCCTCTGCATAATGTCACACTTTTTATTCCTAAGAGTGGCTTTCTGACACCCTGACTGGTTCCCAGCCTCCACCTGTGCTTGTACTGGATTCGGTCCAGCTCTTCGTAGCTAAAGCCCAGGTTGATGCCGATGTTGCGCCAGTCCTGGCTGATCTGCAGAGAGATGGCGAGCAGGTTGGCTTCTGTCAGATAGCCATTCTCCGGGTCCCCCAGCTGTAGAGGAGGAATCCGAGGCTCTGATATCCCTCCTGCAACCTGTGAAGTAGAAACAATGAAGGAGGGACTGGAACTGGAGAAACAGAGAACAAACATCAAGCCTTTCCTAAGAGTCTGACTTTGTACTGAAAACACAACCAGTTCAGGTAAACTGAGCTCAAACTTAATGCAACAAATATCAATTCTCTCTTCTTCAAATATGAATTTCGTGTTAAATTATGCAACTACTTATACTGGAATTGCAAAATTTTATTAATTCTTAATTGTATTAAATGGAATTTACTGTACACCAGAACCTGTGCAATGTCTCAAATGGTTCTTTTGATGTTCAGTATTACAATATTTAAAAAAAAAAAGAAATAAGTAGTTGATTAGTTCAAACTTCACATATTATCATTGTGTTGTTTTCAATTAAATACGAGTAAAACAGAATCCAGTCATTGCTTTTTGGTTTTATT